TAACTCACTATTGTCTATTTGTTTTCCTGAGAAACTATTTTGTAGATAATAATATGTAAAACGATAACCATTGATAATTTCCTACCATTTTGTCTGCAATTTGCTAAGTCCCCCCTATTATTATGTTATCCTTCTTTTACTCTTTAAAATAAAAAACAAAAAAAAACCAAAAAAAAAACCATGCGCTTCATCAGAGCAGTGGAAAACCCTAGGGGTAGAGATTTTTAAACCATCCACAGAAGAGTTGCTGGTTCGGAGGCTTTGCTGTGCTATGTGGCAGAAGATATGTAATTCTTAACTGAATCACAAGGCTTGAAAGCTGGTTCTTGTTTTTCTCAGACCTCTGATTCCTGGAATGTTACTTAAAGTCCTTGGGACCGTCAGTTTGCTTATCTATAAAAATAGGGCTAATAATGGTTTTGCTCAGTAGAAGAGAATTTTATGGAATTTAAATGCACTAATAAACTTGAAAGTGCTTTGAAAGACATTTACAGGGTTCCACATATACATGGTCTTGTTTTAATTTAAACCCCTCCCCCCATTTTGGAACCAGTAATTGCTATTGTTTGTTGAGAGTTTACTTTGTGCCAGGAAGTATTCTAAGTCATCATATACATGTTACGTAGTTTAATTATAACAACAAGTTTAGGAGGGTATTGTTATCTCTGTTTTATGTATGAGGAACCTAAGACATGGGAGTTAGGAAACCAGTCCAGGGTCACATATTTGGTGAGTATTTATACTGTGGGAATACAGTTTCTTCTGCTTTGTACCAGTTTGAGAGTGCTATAGTGAACAAGGAGCCCCCAACTGGGATGAAATATACACAGCATAAAATTTATCATTTCAACCAATTTTAAGTATACAGTTCTGCTAGGTGTGGTGGCGCACGCCTGTAATCCCAGCACTTGGAAGGCTGCGGCAGGAGGATTGCTGTGAGTTTGAGCCCAGCCCAGGCTACAAGTGAGTTCAAGACCAGCCTGAAACACATAGTGAAACCTTGTTTCAAAAAGACAAAAAAACCCAAAAAGTATACAGTTCTGTGGCATTAAGTATACTCACAATGTTTTGTAACTATCACTACCATCCAGCTGCAGAAAGTTTTCATATTCTCCAGCTGAAACTCTGAACCAACTAAACACGAAGTTCCCATTCCTTCCTCCCCAGGCTCTGGTGACCACCATTCTATTCTCTTTTTCTATAAATTTTAACACTCTAAGTACTACATATAAGAGATTTTCTTCAATATTTATCTTATTGTGACTAGCTTATTTCACTTAGCATACTGTCCTTAAGGTTCATCCATGTTATAGCATGTGGCAGAATTTCCTTCTTTTTAAAGGCCAAGTAGTATTTCATACCATGTGTTACTCATTTTGTTTGTCTGTCCATATCTTGGTGGAACTTGGATTGTTTCTACCTTTTCACTGTTGTGGGTAATACAGCTGTGAAGATGGGTGTACAAATACCTCTTCAGGGTGCTCTTTCACTTCTTTGGGGGTACATGCCCAGAAGTGGAATTTTTGGATCATGTGGAAATATTTAATTTTTGAACCACATATTATTTGCTATAGTGGCTGCATTATTTTATTTTATTTCATTTTTTTATTATTTTAAAGAGTAAAAGAAGGATAACATAGTAATAGGGGGCCTTACCGAATTACAGACAAAGTGGTAGGAAATTATCAATGGTTGTTGTTTTACATATTGTTATTTACAAGGTTGTTTCTCAGGAAAACAAATAGACAAATAATAGTGAGTTACAGACAAAAGTGGTAGGAGATTATCAATGGTTGTTGTACTATACTTTGGTATCTTCAAAGTGGTTTCTAAAGAAAATAAATACGGCTATACATGAGTGACCAATTGAATAATCATTGACTATTCTCAATGGTTGTTGTAGGAAACACATAGTAATAAACATACATCCATTTACAAAATAGCATAGGAACAATACAGGCATTACAGAGTTATGGATAGATTAGTAGGAAAATATCAATGGCTGCTGTACTATATGGTGGTATCTTCAAAGTGGTATCTCAGGAAGACAGAAATATGCAAGAAACATCTAACAAGTAGTTACAGCCTAAGGGTTGTCAAAAATAGCATATTACCTCCTTACCAGTGACTCCTTTCACTGAGGTGTGACGGCTGGAAGGAAGGCCAGGATTGAAAGGAAGGACCGAGAGACTTGCACCTGTGTCTAGCAACCGGCTGTTTTGTTTTTCCTCTATAGTCGTGATTACCCGGTGTTTCTCCGTGGAGATGACAGTCTGGCCAGAAGGAGAAGGCAGAGTATGCCCCAGGCCCCCTCATTCCTGTTGGACTAACTGGTAGGATGGGTCTGAGCTCTGGGGCCTCTGCTTCAGAGGGCAGACCAATCTCCAGTGGTCACTTTTGCATTTAGGGCATGGCCCAGGGGGCCTCTTAGGGCAGTTCCTCTTGAGGTGGCCTGAATTTTAACAGTGGTAGCAGATGAATGCAGTCATTGAGTTCTTCTTGGGGCCCTGGGAATCAGACTTTGGGTCTGTTTCTCTTAGTGCTGCAGCAAAAGCAGCTGCCTTTTCTCAGTCTCATTGCTTTGTCTCCTTGGCCTCCTCGTCACGGCTATAGAATACTAAGGAGGCAATTCTTACTAATATCTCAAGCGATCCATCTGGGGTGAAAGCCATTTTTTGTAGCTTTTTCTGTCCAGCCTCCCAGCGCATTGGGACCCCGCAACCACTTAGTGTCCTCTCCCTGGCTGCATTATTTTACATTGCCCACTAGTGATATAAAAGGGTTTCAATTTCCCCATATGCTTGACAACACTTACTATTTTCTGTGCGTTTTCTTTTCTTTTTTTGATAATAGCCATCTGTATTAGTTACCTCTCTTCCTAGGACAGAATACCTGACATATACCTCTTTCAGCTGGCTCTAAGATAGAAGCGACACTATGAGGGAAAGCTGCTTACCTCATGGCAGCCAGGAAGCAGAGAGCAGAAAGGGAGCCTAACCAGAGAAAAAACGATCAAAAGGCATCTCCCCAGTGACCCAGTTCCTCTGGCTGGGCCCCAACAGCCCTTCAGCTGATGAGCTGTCAGTGATGTAGTCCACTGATGTGGTCATGCCCTCATTATCCAAAGTGATCTGTAGACCCCACCTCTGAACACTGCTGTATTTTGGCTCATGCCCTCATAACATGATCTTTGGGGGAAGTTTTCATGTTTAAACCATAACACCCCAGTAGGTTTGGAAAAAATAGACTTCCAGTTGGTATCATTGGACTTACTGGATTTCTCTAATGAGAAGTCATAGCTAGCATCTTTTCATGTGCTTATTCGCCATTTGTACATCCTCTTTGGAAAACTGACCATTCAAGTCCTTTGCTTTTTTTTTGAGTCAGGGTCTTACTATGTTGCCCAAACTGATATCAAACTGGTGAGATCAAGTGATCCTCCTACCTCAAGCCTCTAGAATAGCTAGAACAGGCTGGACATACCCCCATACCCAGCTCCCCTTTTTTTTTTTTTTGGTATTTTTGAAACAGGGTCTCGCTACACAGTTCAGGCTGGCCTTGAACTCACTTTGTAGCCCAGGTTGGCCTCGAACTCACAGCGATCCTCCTGCCTCAGCCTCCCGAGTGCTGGGATTACAGGCGTGCGCCACCACGCCCGGTCCAGCTCCCTTTTTTAATTGGGTGGTTGGTTTCTTTTGTTGTACTTTATTGTAGGATTTTAAAGAATATTCTGGCTGTCAGCCCCTTAATATATAATATGATTTGTAAACATTTTAATCTGTTGTTTGGGTTGGATTTTTACTCTGTTGATTTGATGCACAGAATTTTAAAATTTTGATGAAGTCCAGGGTATCTGTTTTCTCTTTTGATCACTGTACTTTTGGTGTCATAGCTAAGAAGTCATTGCCAATTTCAAATGTCATAAAGCTTCCCCTTAAGTTTTCTAAGAGTTTTGTCCTTCTCTGTCTGTCATTGACTCCTGTATCTGTCAGTTTGTGTCTGTCTCTATCTGTGCATGTCTTTTTGTTTTTGTATTTGTGAACCATTGGAATTTCTGTATGTGCTTTTGTTTCTCTTGAAGTATTTGGACGTATTGTAGATGTCATGATACTTCTTATATCTCCTAAAAAATAATGACGTTTTTATAAATGCTTGTAATTCCATTATCAGTACTCCTTTAGAATTGGGCGTGTGGGGCTCTTGTTGTATGTTCTCTACTTTGGAGTGCCTTTCTCCTCCTATCCTAGTATCTGAAAGACAGGGCACCCCAATTTCTTCTTTTTTAGCAACCTTATATTGAGAACTATAGCAAATTTCCTTAATGCACTGAAAATTAGAGCTGTGTTCTATAATGATGATTTTATTGTTTGCCCTGTATACCATATTTTTCTTCTAATTTATTTTTCTCTTACTGCTTTGGCTGGTTAGTGTGTTCATATTTGGTGTCATTATAAATTACTTTTCTTCTTTTGTCTCTCCAGCACTGAGTTGAAACTCTTGGAGGAGGCAACCATTTCAGTCTGCAAGTCTTTAGGTAAGGGTACAAATGGGGTAGGAGAGAATTCACTGTGAAAATTGTGATAGTGTAATATGAATTGATGAAGTGTGTATCCTTCTTGGTTGTGGTGATGATAGTAATAATTATTTCTATTCCTGTGCTCATTGATGCTATTCAAGGTTACCACTTGGTCAACATATACTTGGCTATCTTTGTAGTGGTAGAATAGTCTATGCTATTATTTCAGCTTGTTTTCTTTTTTGGTGACTGTGGAAACACTGAGAAAAATCAAAATATTATGTTGTATAGTTGCAGCTCAGTTCACATAGAATTTACCGTTTGTCCTGTGACTTGGCAACTGCCCTAATTATGCTATTGTTGGCTGTGTTGGGTTGGATTTTTACTCTGTTTACTCTGAGTAACAAAATAATTGTTACTCATTAAAATATAATAGGAAACCTCTCTGTTGCAACTTGATATTGTGGTAAAAAGCATGGCATCTAGAATAATTTTATGATCTTCACTCTAGCACTGCTTAGTAGCTGAAATTTAATTTTCTCATCTAATTTGAGGTTAAAAATAACTATATTACAGGATTCTATTTTTTTGGTTTTTTTCCAGTACTGGGAATCGAACTCACGACCTTGCACTTGCCAGGCAGGTGCTGTGCCGCTGAGCTAAATCCCCAACCCATTACAGGATTCTTAAAAGGAAAAGAATTGTGCAACACGAAATGTCTCGTGTAACACATAGCATCTAGTTATTACTATTTATATCAATAGAGAGTACATTTTTTGATATCTTTTCTTGAGTGCTTTACTTTTACTAAAAAAACAGTCTTTACTTTAAAGTTGGTAGCAGCTAGGTGTGGTGGCACGTGCCTATAATCCCAGCACTTGCAACGCTGAGACAGGAGGATTGCTATGAGTTCGACGTCAGCATGGGCTACATAGTGTATTCAAGAACTACCTGAACTACATAGTGAGACCCTGTCTCCAACAATAGTAACAACAACGACGACGATAACGACAAAAATAGCAATAATAGCAGCAGCAACAGTTAGAAAGAAATGTATATGCTTTTTAAAATGCAGATAATTAAAATTATATTGTATTGTTTTGAAAATTAGAGATAATGTGCCTATAAAATACCTAGTGTAGAGGGATTTTAGTAGGTGATAATAATATTTTTATTTTATTTTATTTTATTTTTGTTTTTTTTTTGAGATAGGGTCTTGTTATACCGTTCAGGCTGACCTTGAACTCACTGTGTTGCTGAGGCTGATCTCAAGCTTATGGTGATCCTCCTGCCTCAGCCTCCCAAGTGCTGGGATTACAGGTGTGCGCCACCAGGCTCGGCAGCAGTATTCTGTTTTTAAATCAAGCCATTTGGATAATTGCCACTTAAATTATATGGATAACTCTTATATAAGTTATTTTGCCAAAAATAGTGGTTTTTTTGTACTGGTGATCAAACTTAGGGCCTCATGTATGTGTGGTGGGAAACACCTATACCACTGAGCTACATCTGGTCCTGAAAAATAGTCTCTGATGAAGTATTTTTGTTTTTTAAAAAAATCACATTATTAATGGTAGAGTTGTTACTGTAGTATGCCTTCAAGTACAGCCATAGAGTATTTTGTGCTAAATAGAATTGGCTCTGAAGACCCTTGTAACAGGTTAGTGCTGAACATTGAGCTGTGTGTATTTTTTTTTTTTTTTAATTTTAAAGAGTGAAAGAAGGATAACATAATAATGGGGGGGCTTACCAAATTACAGACAAAGTGGTAGGAAATTATCAATGGTTATTGTTTTACATATTGTTATCTACCAGATAGTTTCTCAGGAAAACAAATAGATAAATAATAGTGAGTTACAGACAAAAGAGGAAGGAGATTATCAGTAGTTGTTGTACTATACTTTGGTATCTTCAAAGTGGCTTCTAAAAAAATAAATAGAGCTATACATGAGTGACCTATTGAATAATCATTAACTTTTCTCAATGGTTGTTATAGGAAACACATAACAGACATGCATCCATTTACGAAATAGGATAGGAACAATACAAATATTGCAGAGTTGTGGATAGATTAGTAGGAAAATATCAATGGCTGCTGTAATACATGGTGGTATCTTCAAAGTGGTTTCTCAGGAAGACAGAGATACGCAAGAAGGATCTAACAAGTAGTTACAGCCTAAGGGTTGTCAAAAATCAAGTGAGCCATCTGGGGCAAAAGCCATTTTTTGTAGCATTTTCTCTCCAGCCTCCCATCGCATTGGGACCCCACAACCAGTTAGTGTCCTCTCCCCAGCTGTCGGCACAGGCAGCAGGAATCCTGCTGCAGGCTTCTCCAGAGCTCCACCACAGCCTGTACTGTCAGGGGAAGAATGGCTTCCAGGGAGTCTCTGCAGTTGTTGTGCAAGGTCCTCCTGGTTTCCAGCTTCCGAGCAGCTCTCATGACCCCAGGCCCAGGACCTCTGACTCCTCAGGCTTAGTCTGCATTCTCATGTTCTCTGAGTCTTTGCTCAGCAGCTGCTCCTCCACTGACTCTGGACCTTTCTGGTTCCCAATGGCAGGAGCAAGAGTGACCCATTGCATGGCATGTATTCCCAGTGGTTTCTCCATGCTTGAATGATTCACACATGTCCTTAGGTGGGCATCTGCAGCCAGTGCATGGTGGGCCATTTGTGTCATTGTTTCTCTGTGTCATGGTTGTTCTCAATTGAGCGGTGGCAGCCGGCCTGAGGGCCGGCGCACAACAGCGCTCACTGCCTCGTGACACACCCTGCACTGGGGGCCTTCCTTCTGGGTGCCTACGAGGTGGGGAGCGAGCCTGCCGGAGCTGTGTGTATTGTGATGATGGCTTTAAGGTGACTTTGGTGTTGAAAAAATTAGATTTTAACCCTTGGGACATTAGACTAATTTTGTCTCCCCATCTTTACTCTTTGGAATATTTGTTGAGGAATTACTGATTTTAATTTTATGAGTTTTATTATATTAAACAATGAGAATGTGACAGGAAAAATCTCACAAAAATAAAGTATTGAAAGAATATTTATTGAGTGTTTATAAAAAAGCATCAAATTTTCAACATTGCCTTTTTGTGTGTACTAAGTCTAAAAAAGAAAAATAATTTTTTTTTTCAACAAATTCTTAAATGAACTACAATGAAAGTTCTAATAGAATTTTACAAAGAAATTTACTTCACTTATCACACCAAAGACAGCCTTCTCACATGACAGTGGCACATTCCACGCACATGTATCCCTTATACTGACAGCACATGTGTTTTGTTTTTTTGGCCTTTTTGTAGGATATAATGACATCTCACTGGTCTTGCTGTTTTGTCAGGAGGTTCTTATTATATTATACAATGTGTAGTTAACAGGAACATAAAATATCAATAAAACAAACTGTTAAATTCTTAATATGTATCATCTGTTTAGAATAAACATCAACATTTTCATATCAGTTTGCTTACAAAAACCTAAAAGATAACATTAAAAATAAAAACCTATGTGAACTACAATGTAAACTCAAACAAGACTGCCACAGAAATAAGCTTTGCTTCAACTGTCACATCCATGGCAGTCTTCATACATGACAACTACATGTTCCATGCACACATCTTGCTTACACTGACAGCATGTGTGCTTAGCCTTTCTTTCCAGTGTGGTAGTCTTGTCACCTCTCTTCCTCTTTTGTCAGGAGCTTCCTACTATATTGTACAACATGCACTTAGCAGGGAAATAAAATACCAGTAAAATACAAAATATGTAATGAGGGCTTAGAATAGCTGTTTACTTGCTTACAAAACCTAAAAGATAACATCAGAAATAAGAACAATCATTAAAAATAATTAATATTATTAGTAATCCCAGAAATAAAAACTTATGTGAATTGCAGTGTAAACACAAACGAAAGTCTACCACAGAAATAATCTTTGCTTCAACTATCATGCCCAAGGCAGTCTTCACCTATGACAACTGCATATTCCATACACAAGTATCTCTTACACTGATAGCATGTATCTTTTGTTTTCCTGTACTTTCATGTAGGGCACAGTTGTTACCTTTTTGTTTCACTGTTGTAGTAGGTCTTTGATGCTGCACTCCTTCTGTTTACCAGTGTGCTTCGCAATTTTCTTGCATAGTTCCCCTGGGAAGAAACATTTTGTTTTTCCTCTGCTATAAATGATCTCTTATGCGTTCTAGTCCCAATCCTCTAAGAAAAATTTTCTGTGCTATTTTGCATTTGTTATTTTCTTCCTAAATTCTTCAGCTATTTATGCCATACATGTTTAGCATGGAATAAAACACAACCACTGGCCAATGCTTTGTGTTTCAGGTGACATTATAGTTGTTGAATAACTCATCAACAGTGTCTATTCCACCTTTAGTTTTGTTGTAGAAAGTTACCATTTCAGGTTTCCATTTTGTGGAGGTTTCCCTATCAGTATTTCCATCGTGGTACAGTGTTGATATCAGCAGTAGCAGTTTGTTTTTCTTTGCTATATACCAGCCCAATGTTATATCTTTCTGAAAATCAAAGATTATAATGTACAATTCTCTGTTTTGAAATTGCAACATTTCATTTAGAATTTCTGCTTTGTTCATGTGTACAGTTCCCTTGCTGGTCAACTTGTGCTTTGGTAGCAAATGCAACATCAATTGGAAACTGATAAATCAGTTGTCCAATGTCACATTCTGATTAGTTTGGGTGGTGGGAGCAACAAGTCTGTTTGCAACATCATTTGGTTTATTACTACATGAATAAAGATTTGGTGAGTGAGTTTCAGGATAAATATCTAAATTCAAAGCCTGATATGTCTTACACTACAAGGGCATAATTTATATGCCAAATTTTGACCCATCACTTTCCCATAAATCTTTTACATTTCTGTGATCACCATGAGAAATTTGTGCTAAGTATAGCAGATCTATGAATGCTTTCAGTTCAGCTAGTGAGGTGACATAATACATACACTTTTTTTTTTTTTTGGTACCAAGAATCAACTCATGACTTCAGGTTTGCAAGCACTTATGCCACTGAGCTATATCCCTGGCCCTACATACACTTTTGAATAAGGCTATTGGTGCATACAGACCATTTTACTTGCACTTTAGCCTTTGTGTATTTCACAGCATCTTGTAGCATTTCATTTGTTCCAATTTCCAACATTGAATGGCATTCTGTCTAATATGTTTCACCCCTGCCAAAACCTTCAGTGTATTTTTAGAAGTAGTTCTAATATTCATTGTTCCATTTGGTTGTGTGGCCACTTTTTGCAACATTTTGACTAGTCAGACACATACTCACATTGCTGTTTAACTCCTTATCTGAATGAAGGAGGTCTGCGTTCCCTGTGTCTGTATCAGGTGATTCTTCCTCCTTTTCACTGTCACAGGAACTTTGGCTTTTGGCTAGTGTCAAAGTTGATGTCATCATCATCATATACCCACACCACTCTTCTGTTATGAAAGCGTGTATTTTACCATAATGCGTTGTCTTCATCATTCATGCATGAGTAATCTGATGATTCACTTTAGACCTCCTCCAAAACTTACAAATCTGGTTTTTCATGTGCCGTTGTACTGAATTAGGCTGCTTCTACCAGAAAAATAAAAAGAAAACTTTTTTTTTTTTTTTTTAACAAATCCTGAGTGGTGTGGGTCTATTGGACCCTCTGTGATGCTTGGGTAGACATACACAAAACCAGTTACATGGAGCATAAGGTGGGTACAAATCCCATTTGGCCACTTTTGCATACTTGTGCACTCCTTGCTATTCATCATACCAAGTGGGTAAACACATGGATGACTTCCTATATCCCTCATGGGAAGGTACTGAGACATACAGCCAGCTACTATAATGCTGAAGTGCAAATTTACAGTAGAAAAGCAAGGGATGGGTCCTCTGGACCTAGTCTTATGCCAAAAAAATTGGAAGTAATAGTTATTTATTAGCTATGATGTGGGATATATATATATAATTTATAATTTTTCTCTTGACTTTTTATCAGAAATGTGTCATTAAAAATGCTTTTAGGAGTAGCATAGAACAGTTCACATTTGTTGCCAGCAGTTCCAACAACATAGTGGTACAGATGAAATAAAAGTTATTATTGCTGATTTTTGTACAATATTTTTCAGAGTACCCCCTACATATACTGAGATTATGCACAGTTTCACATAATGGTATTTTTAATGCTGAGGTTTGTACTTTGTGAGTCTTTAGTCTCATCAGGCCTTTCTGCCTTCCTGTTGAGTATGCTGTAGCTGCTGTAGCTCCTGAAGCTCATTCAGCTTCAGTATAGCATTTTACTTTTACTGCCTCCTATTAAATTCCTTTGCATCTACCATTGATCTATTTTGCTCCTATTAAATTCCTTTGCATCTACCATTGATCTATTTTGGAATTTTGAGTTTCACATGGATATTATTTTTAACAATTTATTAGCATGTTCAATTTTACACAATTTTTGCTTTAGGCATCATCTTAACCTAAAAGAGTGCTGTGGAAACTTTTAATTGCCTTGGACTACAAGGTCTATTAACACAGGGAATTCTGTTTACAAATGTCTCCCTAGTGCCTGAAGCAGCACAGGCCACTGTGTTTGAGTGTTTGCATTTTGGATTTTAAAAATATACTTCAAGTGATCCCTGCTACTCAGGAGGCTGAGGCAAGAGGATTTCAAGTTTGAGACCATTCTGGACAACTTAGTCTAAACCAAAAGGTCTTAGGGGTATTGTAGTTGAGTGGTAGAGCAGGCCTGGGTTCCAGTACTATAAACAGACATCTATAAAAGAGAAACAAATTATCCAGAACTCTGTAATCTCACAGTTTGAACACCATTGGTAAAGGAAAATGATTGTGAACTTGTTACTGATAAATTGTTGACTTTGGGTCTAACACTGTATCTCTTTGAGCTTTTTCCTTCATTAATGAAATTAAAAGTTCTAACTAAACAGTCCCTGCTGTTGAATTCTTGTGTACTTCTGTGACTTTCTGTGTAGTCTAGTAGCACTTTATAATTTCATGCAGTCCAATTCTTTGGTGAAAGATTTGAGTCAGTAGGCAAGGATATGTACTTAAGAAAGTAACAACCTACAAATAAAAATATGTAAAATGACAGAACTCGGGAGGCTGAGCCAGGAGGATTGCCATGGGCCTGAGGCCAGCCTGGGCTACCAAATGAGTTCAAAGCTAGTCTGAACTGAATAGTGGGGCCCTGTTTTAAAACAACAGCGGTAACAACAATAAGAATGTGAGAATATGTAAAATGAAAATAATATTGGTGCTTATCTTCTAGAGTTGTGAAAATTAAGTGAAGTAATGCCTGGAAAGGACTTGTATATATTTTTCAATATGTTAGCTATTGTTTCTTTTGAGAGATGAGAAAACTAAAGCTGGAAAAGTAAAGTGACCGAGGCCCAGTTACTTGGCTCTAGAAACAAGATCTTTTGATTCTTAGTGTTCTTTCAACTCTTTAGACTAGGTTAGCTAAAATTCTTACCTTTTACAACTTTAAATAGGGGGCTGGGGATTTAGCTTAGTGGCAAAAGCGCCTGCCTGGCAAGTGCAAGGTTGTGAGTTCGGTTCCCGGTACCGGAGAAAAACCAAAACCAAAACCAAAAAAAAAAAAAAAAAAAACCTTTAAATAAAAATGTTTAAATAAATTCCTTAAAGTTTTGTCTGATCCAGATAGCTCCTTCTCTAGCCACATTGGCATGTTTATGTGCATTTTTCATCATTAGAATTGTTTGTGATGTTACTTCTATATTTTATTATATTCCATATACTCATAAAATAAATGATACATTTTTAAAATGTATGTGTATAAATATGTCTATGAACTTTCTATCTTTTCTTTATAATTTTGGATTCTGAGATGAGGTTGCTACTTTTATTTTTTATTTTCATTTTGCAAATCATTTTTTATGTTCAGAATTAAGACCAAGGGCAGCAGATTCTCTCATTGCTTATTTCCCTAATTAAATGTGAAATTGGCATAAGTTCGGTCAGTGAGTAATTTCAGTTTGACATTTGGTTTTGTAAATGTTACAATATACTGTCTTTGATTTCATTTTGACTTTAACTTTTTAAATCTTTTTCTTCTTTTTCAGTTGAAAACAATCCTCGAACAGGAAATCTTGCTGCACTAATTAAGGTCTTCCTTTCTAGAACCAAAGAACTCAAACTTTCAGCAGAATGTCAGAAGTAAGCTGGCTAATTAAATCATGTTTGCTTTTATGTGTGTGTGTGTGTGTGTGTGTGTGTGTGTGTGTGTGTGTGTTTGCTTTATATCCAGCAATATGAATAGTTTTCATTTATTGGTGTAAATAGATTATGATCTTTTGAAAAGCACTGTGAAGTATTGTTTTTATTTAGGGGAAAAGTTAAGAGAGAGGTTTGGTTTAGAGGCCTAAGATGTTGAGGTGAAATTATAAATTCTAGAATCCATTTGATTTCAGCATTTTGTACAGCATCTTCACTGTGTAAGATACAAGTGAAATATGAAATAAAATGCAGTAGGTATCACTGATCCAGTGTAATCAATTAAAAGATAGACATTGTTTTTATACTACAGGTAGGCTGGCAAAATTACTGACAAATCATGCAGAAATCCTGGTATAGAAATAAACGGATCTTGTTCATGATTAAATGCTGATTCTTAAATAATTTCCATCTTTCCTCTAGCCACCTCTTCATTTGGCAGACACATAATGCTTTGTTTATTATTTGCTGTTTGCTGAAAATATTCATCTGTGAGATGTCAGAGGAGGAGTTACAACTTCATTTTACTTATGAAGAGAAATCTCCTGGCAGTTACAGTAAGTATTACCTTTTGACAGTATTTTCAGTATAGCGTGTATAACATATAAGACTCAAATTTGAGTCATAAAAATATGATTTTGAAAATTATAATTTTCCTCTCATAGCTTTCATTTTTCTGTCTTAATGAGAAAGCTGGCAGAAGTGAGGCTCCCATTTGTTTGACTTCCATGCATGTGGAAGGAAAAAAAGTAAAATAAAAGTAAAACTCGTAAGTATGATTGGTTTCAGAATACATGTGTAACTTATAAATATAACTGACAGGGAAGTACATTATTAAAGACAGCTAATCAGAATTAATTGTATAAATGTTAAAGGTTACTTTTCACAAGATAAAAGACTTGAGTCTGAGTTTGTAAGGGACCACTTACTTGATATTTTCAAGGACTGTGAAACATGTTTTCTTTTTCTGAGAATACAGACAAAGTTTATTTTTGTCTCCTGATATTGCTGAAGTCCTCCTGCCTCAATTATTAGGAGGGCCTGCAGTTTTGAAGCACAAATAAATGCCGGCATTTCAATTCTTAATATTAAAACTTACAGTCTAGAAAGTAGAAGAGCAGAACAGGATTATTAACAAATGAAATGTGGTGAATGTAGTGTTTTGTATCTGATCTTGATGCTAAGCTGTCTGAGGGTAAAGACAGTGTTATTCCTCATTTGGTGATTTTTTTTTGAGGCAAGGTCTCACTAAAATTTTTTTTTGAGGCAAGGTCGCTGGTCGTGAATTTGCTTATTTAGCCTAGGCTGGCCTTGAACTTGTGATCCTCCTGCCTCAGCCTCTCTGCCACCACTCCTAGCTTCATGATTTTGTTTTCACATACATCTGTGCACTCATTTGGCTGACAAGGAGAGACTGCCTGTGATTTAGAGTTAGATTTAATGGCTCATATCAAGGACTCTAAAAACAACAAATGCTAATGAGGTTCTGAGGAAAAAGAAACAGTCCTACATTGCTGGTAGGAATGTAAACTAGTACAACAACCTAGTTTCTGGGTGTTAGGGAGCTTTGTAATGTTTAGTTTTCAATGAGGCCTGTATGCTTCGTGAGTTTCAGGTACGTATTTAAATCATATTTTCATATAATTAAGAATGATCCTCTCTCTATTGTGGTTGCTCATATGTTCCTTTTTTTGGTAAATATCAGCATCAAATGTTGGCATTTTAAAATTCATATTTTAGGTTTCTTGTGTAAGAGAAAACATGACAATATTTAACTTTAGGAGTCTGGCTTACTTTGCTTAGCATAATGTTCTTAAGTTCTACCCATATTTGTGCAAATGACATGATTTCAATGCTGTATGGCTGAGTAATTTTCCGTGTGTGTGTGTGTGTGTGTGTACACACACACACACACACAAACACATTTTATCCATTCACCTGTTGACGGCCATCTAGGCCATCTAGGCTCTTTCCACAGTACAGCTATTGTGAATTGTGTTGCTGTAAACATGGCTAGTTTTACGGGTTTCATTATCTCAAATAACATTGCCTCCATAGATATTCTCAGATAACCATGCCACATGTATTCATTACAGTGTAATGTCTTTAATTCTTTCAGAAGTATGCCCAGGAAAGGTATACCTGAAACAAATGGAATTTCTTTTTTTTTTTCTGGTACTGGGAATCGAACTCACGATTTTGCGCTTGCCAGGCAAGCGTTGTGCCACTGAGCTAAATCCCCAGCCCACAAAGGGAATTTCTATCTTTAGTTTTTTGAGGAATCTCCATTCTGATTTCCGTGGGGGTTGTACTGGTTTACATTCCCACCTTGATATGAGCCATTTTTGACAGAGTAAAATGGAATCTCGTTGTTTTGATTTGCATTTCCTTATTGGCTAAAAATATTGAAAATTTTTTCATGTCTGTATGGCCATTTGTACTTCTTATTTTGAGAAGTATCTGTTCAGTTCATTTCCCCATTGTTTCGATTGGGTCATTTGTTTTTTGAGGTTTAATTATTTTTAGTTCTTTATATATTCTAGCTAATAGCCTTGTAACAGAAGAATAAATATTTTCCTGTTCTGTAGGTTGTCTTTTCACTCAGATGATTGTTTCCTTTGCTAGAAGAAGCTTTTTAATGCTATTTCCTGTGTTATTCAATTTTATTTAGGAAGTCTTTGCCTATTCCTGAGGCTTCATGTGTTTCCCCTATGTTATCTTCCAGAAATTTCAAAAAGTTTCTGTTTTTATAGGTAGGTCTTGGATCGTTGCAAACCTTTCCATGAAGTTCTAATAGCAAGAATGGAGTGAATACTTATTACCATCCCACAGGGCCTATGAGCATAATCCAACCAACCTTGCAAACCCAACACTTGGTTTTATGTTCTGTCCTAAAAATTACAGATCTTTCATAGTTGGAACACATCGTTTTTATCGTAAAAACATTTTTCAGAGCAAAAAACTGGTCTCAGGTTGTCTGTCTCTGTCTTTAACACTGTTCTGTGGTATGACCTGACACTGTCATTAAGCAGGCAAATCCAGCGACTGGCTTTTTCTGTGTGAGTCTTCTCTACAAAGGTTTCTAGCTCTGTCTATTTTTTCACGATTTCCTTATTTTCAGAAGTAGAACTTTGCTGCACTGATTGTTGATATCCCCGTTCTTCAGAAAACTCCTCAGCTGCCATTCTTTGTTGCTCAGCCAGAAGTTGCTGAAGTTCCTGTATAGACACTTCATCCTCTGAGTATTCTTCTGCCAGTTCCTCAGCATCACCACTGTGTACCTGCAGTGGACTGTGCCGTAGTGACAATGTCATCAACTACAGGGTCAGTTGGAGGCTCAGGCTTCTCTACATTAGCTTCCTTATACAAATCTTTTCCCTGTAAGAATGTCAGGATGATGGATTTGGACATGCTGTACATATTAGTGAGATTAGTCACACTAGCACCACTCTGTTATTTCTCCACAATTTACTTTTCAACGTGATTGCTTTCTTTACCTTTCCTTTCTTCCTTCCCTCCTTCCTTCCTTCCTTCTTTCCTTAGCTTCTTTAGTTTTTGGGGGGCTATTTTGATAGCAGTAATCATAGTGATTAGATAAAGCACTGACCGAAATCATGTCCACAAATGTGCACCTGGGCTCAGACTGACCCTTATATACGCTCACGTACACTTTTCTGGCATTGAGAGTCTGTTTATGACCACAGAAGCAGCCAGCATTCTGGTCATAACTCAAGACTTTGCTTGTAAATTAAACCTGAAGCACAGGTTGTAATCCAAGTTGTTCATGCCTGAGTCTGGTTGTAACTTGAGGGTCCACTGTACTTGAAAAAGTGTTACACATTAGCCAAGAACCAGTTGTTTTATACAGGAGGGTTCACTGGAGTTAACTACTCCACCATAGTGCTGCTCCTAGAAGGCAGTAGTTTTCCCTTTTTTATTTATTTTTAAATGAGAGAGGAAGCCTTTTGGAGATTGAAGGACTGGAGGTAGAAGCAACAGGAGGAAAATAGAAACGAAGATCCAGGGAAGTAGAAGGTGCTGGGAAGAGGAGCCTGGAGAAGTAGTGTGAGGAAGAGGTGGATCCCACACCCAGAGGTGGGGAGAGCAGCGTGTAGAGGAACCGGTTAATGCAGCTCCATGGAGAAGTAGAGACTGGACTAGGCACCTGGATAATGCCTGGTAAAAGGCTTGCTTAACTGCATTTCTTTGCCATAGAATAGTTCAACCCAAATTTATTTTTAAAAATTATATTGTAGGATTTGCTTTCAGTCGTAGTAGGTTAAACGTGCATGTTTATTTTTGCTTTCTCCTGAAACTCCAGCAAGATACTAGTAAAGAGACTTCTAAAACTCATGAATTTATTACATTAAAGGAAATGAGAGGGGAACACAATGCTAACATTTTGGAAGTTGGAAAATTGAGTAAGGAAGAGTTTAACTGGTGAAAGGTAAAAGTGAAATACCTTCAGGATTGGAGAAACCCTGAGAAAAACTAATTCTTGCCCCACAGTCCTAGAAAGGCTTGGGAATTTGAAGTGCCCAAGCCCAAATTCTAAGGGCAGAGAAGCACTTGAAGAGCAGTTAGAAGCTGAGATTCTTTCCTTGGCCTAGTGGTTAGGAGACCAGCCTTCCCAGGTCAGTGCTGAGTCTATTTTGCATAACCCAGGGCTTCCCAGGGTGTGCTGCAGCAGAGTGAAGCTGGCCTGCCGAGAGCGAGAGCCGAGTCAGGGAAAGGCTGCGAGGGAAGGGTGAGGTGTCTTGACTTGGCTGACAGAGTGCTGGCACCAGGATTTTATCCTTACCCGATTAGTGGGTACTCTTTTAGAGAGAATGAACCAAAGCAAGGAAAGATGTACATTCGGATGGCCTCAGTGACTCCACTCAGAGCCTTCCAGTGAGGATTGCCACTTGCAGGTTCTGTGGGCTTCACTAAATGGAGAGCCAGCATATAAACAATGTAGAAAGGCAGCTAACTTGAAAGAGATAAAACAACAAAGAAAAAAATCATTTAAGAAGAAATTTGTGGAAATAGATTAAAAAATCCATAATTATACCTCTCTAATATAGCCAATTTCCTTTCCATTCTCCTCTGGCTTAAAACGTTTTTGAAATTCTTTCTTTGGAATTACACTTAAAATCCATGACATTTTGTTTTGATAAACTTAGTGGAGATGAATCTCTCCTTTGAAACTATTTGATTTTTTCTCTTTGCTGAGGTGCTCTGGTTGCCCTGGCAGCAAGGTGTCTGCCTGCTTTTCTGTTTGATCTGGTCCCCCAAACTGGGGCAGGCTGTCGCTCAGGAGGAGGAAGACTCAGAGTTGCATAATGAGCAACCGAGCAGTTGAGCAGCTTTTAAAAATTTGAATATAGTTGAAAAAAATCATATATATTTTGCTGTACAATGCCATATATTGAGATATACACATAGTGAAATGATTACGGTGATCAAGATAATTAATATATCTATCACTGTTCACACATAGCAATTATTAGTTTCCTTCATTTAGAAACATAATACAAGTCCAAAACGTTTTTTAAAATTTTTATTTTAGTATAAA